AAAGTGGAAGAAAAGAAAAAGGATAATTCGACTAAAGATTACAGAACCCAAAAAGAATTAAATAAATACTCGCCTAAAATTCTGAACCATTTTTGAACCACCACAACTTAAAAAGGAAGAAAATAAATAACAAAATAAGCAGTAAAACAGGAAGGAAAGACGAAAAAATGTCATACAAAAACTAACCTTTGTAGCTGCATTTTCAAATAAGTGTGGCGATGATCTGCCTGGTGGAATCATTGGTTTCAACCAACAGAACTCTGAGAAACATTCGAGGAAGAATTTTCTCCCATTTAATAGCAGTTTCAGAGATGTTATTTTTCCTATCCTCCCGTGACTCTCCCTCCCCTTCCTCCTCCTGCAACACCTTGTCCATGCTATCTTCACAACCTACAGTAACTTCCCCCATTTCTTCCTAAACCCTAACATCAACGTGGACCATAACGAAACCATAATTTTTGTTCAGAGCTCCTGCAACTAATGCTGCAAACTTCACTCGGCATGGGACCCGCCTCACTCAGCATGGTACCATAACGAAACCATAATTTATGGATGCGCTTAATTTCAAAGATGCAACAAACTTCACTCAGCAACATGGGCCAATCTGGGCTTCTTGGAGCAATGTTATGGATGCGCTTAATGTAGGTGATATTCATTCAGCATATACTGAAGTCTTATCTACAGGGGATGATCTTTTGCTTGTGAAGTCGTCGGTGGTGATAGTTGTGGAGTCGCCGCCGGGCGGATGTAGAGAGAGAGAGGGAGGAGAGATGTCTCGTATGTGATAGAAAAGCAGAGGAGGAGAGGAGCAAAACACTCATTTTGCTTAACTTAACTAACAGAGATGCATACTAACGAAGTTGAAGAATATTCTTCGCATGCTTAAGCCATTCACACGTTTTTGAGACACGTGGTGCATCCTCCAAATGCACGAACGACGCCCTGACTAAGGGTGCATGGACTGAAGCCGAACTCGGGCAAAAAACCACAATCTGCACGGCGGAGTGTTTTCATGCTTTCCACTTCCCGTGCATAGTTTCCCATGTCAAGAATCATGATAGCCTCGTATGCCCCATCTGCAATGACAACTAGAGAGAAGTACCTTTGATGGCCGTCCATAGGAATATGCAATCAACAGATGAAGAGGTAGTAGATAATAAACAAGACAAAACCCACGGTGCAGTGAATAAGCTGCAAGATAAGAGGCGAGAATCCACCACTCCTCGTGACGTGAAGAACAAGTACAATCAGCAATCCAAACCATCTGACGACGATGAGCCATTGCTTTCTCCAATGGCCGGTGCGAGGTTCGATCTGATATCAGAAGCAGATGAGAACAAGGACGAAGAAAAAAATGAGGTGGATGATGAGATCAATGAGTTTTAGGGATTTTTCGTGAATCCAACTCGTTCATCTTCGTATAAGGAAATAGATGAAACGACAATCAATATCAACATCCTAAGGAATTTTGAGGTACGAATGCTACGAGAGGCTACCGTGGTCTTTGTCGATTGAAGTCACGAGACTTACTTGTTGCACTAAAGCTGAAGGCTCCTCCATTCTCAGTGCGCAATAGCAACACGACGTCACCGCTGCTAGACCCTAGGCGTCATGCGCCAATCAATTTGGTCACAGTGCTTGACATTAGTGGAAGCAAGACTGTTGCCAAAAGTGTTGAGAGAGAGACAAAGGTGTTGTCACAAGGATGAAAAATTTGAGATGGTTGATAAAGAAAATTAGGTGACACTTAAAGGGAATTTGTGTCTTTTTATATGCCACTTAATGGTTGATTAACGACAAGTACTAGTAGGGTTGTTCACGGGTCGGGTTGGGTCAGTTTACTGGCGCTTTTCCAACCGACCGACCTGGTTGGTTTACCTAGAAATGAAACCGAAACCGACCCAGTACTAAGTAAAACCGACCTAGTCGGTTTGAATCGATTTGGGTCGGTTTTGTGAATGATTCTCTCGGTGTGAACGGTAAAGGATTCAAGTCTAAGAAAGCAAAGGCTGGATGCCTGGAAATGAAAAATGATTTGATGGATTAAAACTGATATTTTATATATCAGAAATTTTATATATGTATATTTATGAAATAAAGCTGAAATATATATATTTCCACAAATATATATCTGAAATATATATTAAAACCGAAATATATATATAGTAAAACTGAAATATATCAGATATATGTGTGAAAACTGAAACCGAACCGAACCATCGGTTTATATTTTTTTGTAACCCGAAACCGACCGGTGTTGAAAAAAAACCGGCCAACTTGGGTTGGATCGGACCGGGTTGGTCGGTTTGGGTCTTGTTATGAACAGCCCTAAGTACTAGATTGTTGCATTTTGAAATTTCGAATACTGGATTGTCACACTTTAAAGTTCAAGGACCAAATTGTCACTCGACCCAAAGTAGGAGGTATTGAGAAGGAATTTTCCCTTTTTTTGTTTGGTTGAATCATTTTAAACAAATCGTTTGTACTTATGCCTTGATTTTTGGGTCTTAAAAAATGTCTTTCTTTTTATTTTGGGTTATTTTTCTTGCCTAATGGCATATCCTATACGATGTCTAATAGCACTTAGCCGGAATAATCAACAATATACAAATGAGATTTGGATTATTTACACAATATTTTTTTTTTCTGATTTCCCAATGCATTAGTCAAATATAAGCGATTCATGAGAAAATTATCACGGTACCAAACACAACGTTAAACTTTTGCCAAATTAATTAAAAGTTGTTTATGTATTGCGGTGAAGGATCCATATCCAGTCATCTGGATTAACCCTTACCCAACAACAACACTTCACATCCACATGTTGATTGTTTGTCATCATGGTATGCTGGGCTACAACTATCGTTGCACTCTGCAGTTTGCACCAAGCCAAAATGGGCCACCTTCATTCAAACACCTCGACTGCTCTCGACCCAGCCACAATAACAAAGAACGATAAAAATGATTGGATTGTTCTGTACTGTTTCTTTCTCACGGGACGAAATCCCAATCCCAAACTGTTGGCTTTGTCTAGAAATCTAAATGTGTAAGTGTGAATTTGGACATCGACCATATCTCCGTGCTTGCGAGTTGGCATTTATGGGGAGATGTTTTCAATGCACGGCTGCAATATGTGAATTTGGTGTGAATCGATCAAAGAGAAAATCCGAATTTGCTAAGACTGTCTTTGGTTGTAATGCAATTTTATTTGCATTGATGTAAAATCATGGTAGTGCAAATGATTTGAGTGTAAATTTTGACTTATTTTTGTATCAAATTTTAGTTATTTTTGTTTGATTCTAATAMAAATGAAGTAAATTAATACATGAAACAGAATAAAATAAAATCCAAAATAAAATTAAACAATAATTTGCATTTTTTACATTTACACTCCCATACATTTGTACTAGTGCAAATAAATTTATACTGCAACCAAACATAACCTAAGTATATGGTGAAAAGACATAATACTGAAATGCTTAGGCCAATCAAACCCCACCTCCGATTGATTGATTACTGGTTTATGATGCCACTTCATTGGTTATAAGTAGAACTTTTTATGGGCTGACCTTTTCTTAGTCGGGCTTGGAAAAATCTTCAAATTTCTTGACTAGGCTTTCAGCTTCAAGCCAAGGCTTTAGGATTTATATTAGTGGGACCTGTATGATGTATGGGCTTTGTTAAATGAAAGCTAAAAATCATCAAACTGATGAAAGCAACCAATTCGACCAACCCAACCTAATTCGACTCAACTTGGTTGGCTTCTTAGTATTTTTCAATTGACTCTAGTTTCGGTTTAGCCATTTGTAAACCAATAAAAATTGAATCATTCCAACAACACACACACATATATACTCTGGAATGCATTCAATTAATATAGAAGGGAAAATCTATGATATAGAAAATATATGATATGGAAAGAGTTTAGACCAATCAAAACCCACCCATGAATTTTGATTAATAATACCTTATTTGCTCTCACGTTTGTGATTTCAGTTTATTAGTGAGTTATTTTTCCCATATTATATCTTTTTCATATCATAGTCGAACTCAATATAGAAACAAATCCGACCTAGCCTTAATAGATGAAGTTGTAACTTGTAAGTCTTTTTTTTTTTTTTTTGGAAAATACTTGATTAGTACTCTATACTTGAGGCTTAATGTCACTTTGGTCTTTGGACTTTAAAATGTGACAATTTAGTACTCAAACTTTCAAAACATATCAATCTAGTACTTATTGTTAGGGGTGTCAATTGGACTGGATTTGGTCCAATCAGATCTGGTCTAATGTGAGTTCATTATAAATGGATTAGGTCCAATCCAATCCAATAAATGTTTTGGACTAATTTGGATCGGTCCACATCAATGTTTAGACCATCCAATATGTTCAAATTTATTTTGATTTAGATTGGTTTCAATTCATACGTGATCTATTGATATATATATTCTTATATTATATCAATGGATCAGATATTGGCTTAATCCAATCCAATCTAATATAAATTTGTTATGAACAAACTTAGGTCTAATCCAATCTAATAAATATTTTAGATCAGATTGGTCCAACCTAATATGTCTTGTTGGTCCGTCCAATCCATCTAAATTGATTTCGGATTGAATGGGTCCAATTCAAAACCGGTCCATTACACCGAACCTGTTAATCGGTATTAACTGTTAAGTAATATTTGAAAATACACACAGAGGCAAAAATTTGGAACTGTTATTTTTTTTTTCAACAATTAGATGAATGATAAAAAAATTAGATGATACTTAAATGCTATTTAAATGTCATTTCTATTTTTTCAAATACTATTTAACGAATTATTAACGATAAATAATACATTCAAACGTTTTAAAAGTTATTAACGTTAAATACTACATTGAAACGTTTAAAAAAGTTAAGGTACTGAATTATCGCGTTTTAAAATTCGGGGCCAAAATGGCACCGTACCCAAATTATAATTTCCCTTTTTTTTTTCGGGTGTCATGTGTTTCCGGCATCATAGTAAGACAGAATCGGAGAACATGGACTGAACTTCGTAGAACAAAGTAAAATCGGGCCCCATTAGCCGAGGAACTATTTCGCTCGTCGGGATGCTAATCAGATGGTTGGTTGCCATAAATACCAGTCACCGAAATTCCGTCAACATTATTCTCCTTTCACGTCGTCAATGCACTCTGACGTTGGACTTACTGGAGCGGTGGTGCACGTTCAGAACCGGAAGCCTAACCAACCGTACGCTGGTTAAGGAAGCAGCTTCGGACAGACTTTCTTGATCTCGGTCACTTAGAAAAATCTCTTCCTTTTGTTTCCCTAGTCCCCCCTCCCTTCGTATAAAAAAGCAGAAGCGGCAATAGCAGCAGAAGAAGAACGAAGAAAAAGAAAACCCCGAAAGAAGAGTGTAATCAAACAACTTCTCTTTTCTTTTTCTTTTTTGTTTGCTTTTTTTAATAGCATCATCGATTTATTATAATTTTATTTTGATAATCATGTCGTTCCCCAAAATCCTTCAAAAACCCTCTCTTTCTAAATGTCTCCTATCTGTCGACGATGGATGGAGAGAAACCCTCTTGTCTTAGTTTCATTTATGGTCTGCCTCTAGCACACCACCCAGTTTGCACAATAAATTTATTCTCGATCTCCTCATCGTCCTGAACTCCGAATCGAAGTGTTTCGTCGTCTTCTTCTTCGATGACTGCAACGATTTCCCTGGGAGATACCTGGTCGTATTAGGGTTTCCGAGATGGCTTCCGAGGAGATGAATTTGGTCCCGTCCCAGAGAATGGAGAACGGATTGAATTCACAGATAGTTTTCCAGGATGAGGGCCTGCAGTTCAACTGCGGTGCTCCTCAACGTCGTGTTGCTGATCCCGCACGCAAGACCAGGGAGGTTAGCGGTTTCGTCGAAGAGAAGATGTTTCCAGTCGACCGGGACCGCTACTTCCGGACGTCGGGCCCGGAATTCCGACGGGGTCTTTATGACAGCTCCCCTGGCAGGCAAGACCGTCCCGAAACTCAGCAGAATTGGAATGCTGATGCAAGTGCTGGGACACCCAGCATCGATGGATCCGAAGGTGAGGAGGAAGATGAAGATGACGATGAAGACGATGAGGACGATGAAGTCGACGGTGAAGTGGAGGGTTTGGTTGCCGCCGATGACAGCAACAAGAACAACAATAATAGCAGCAGTAGTGTACATAGTAGCTCCGAAAAAATACGCAGCGAAAAATCAAATTTGCAGAAACACCATTCTTCTTTTGGTATTTTTTCTATTACTCTCCCCATTTTCTTTTTCGGATTCTCGTTTTCTTGAGTCTGGAACGCTTAGTGGGTGGTCATTCACTCTGATAGGAGGATCAGGCAGGGGAGTATTGGTGAAGGACGGGAACGTTGTTCAGTCCGCAACTAGTATTAGAGGGAGTCCTAGTGAACAGCAACATCAGCAAGGTCGGATGACTCACTGCGAGAATGCGGTTACAATTGCGGAGCCTGATATGTACTATTCACAGTTCTTCCAAGGGACGGAAAGTTCAGTCCTCGCGCAGAAGGAAATAGGAGAGAACGGGTGCGGGTTTAGTGGGAGAAAGGATGGTTCTTTGTCTACTGAATCAGGGGAGTCTCTAAGGACAATTTTATCAGATCCTCTGACGTAAGTTTCATTCATAATTTGCTGGTTCCTTTCTCTTTCTAACACTTTCTTTGGGCACTGAACAACTTCACGATTACAACTTTTGCGCGTTTAGTTAACCAACATAACTTTAACCTATAATTTGGCGTCACTGAATTAGAATATGCAATTTAAATGCTGAGTTTGGGCTGAGGTGGTCTCAGTGATTAGGGTTGCAGTGTTCAAAACTAATTGTTAGTTTGCCATATCTTTGGATTAAGCACAATTTGAATGCTAAGTTTGGCACTTTGGCCTGAGATTTTGCAGTAGTGTTGCAAAGCTAATTGTTAGTTCGATATGTTTTTTGGATTAGCATTTGGCATAGTTTTTTTTTTCCATATTTGGACTTGAGAAAAGGTGGAGATTTCCTTTTATTTTCCCCTAAGTGACCTTATTAACATCTAAAAATGCACAATTACAAATATCAACTATATCCATTTTAGCTTGGGTTTAAATATGGGACAAAAATAAAAGACAATTTGATAGTTGCACAACTTAAATTGTATTACTATTAATTTGACATGTTCCCTCTGGCTTGTATGTGGAAAGCATTATTGGCTTGCCTAAATATGCTGCATTAGTTTCCTTGAGGTTGTTCTTGAGTAAATCCATCCAACCATTTCTTATATTGACAAATGGATGTGATTTGACTGGATGCTATTAAATCCATCAAAATGGAAATCCACCTTGTATGCTTGGTTCCCTCAGGCAAAACTGGACTATTAAGTCACTTCCTTGATGTGGCAATTCATCTCCGTGGGTATTCAGTGGGGCCTCTGAATTTGATCAATATTGAGTATTTGACTGCAGTATTTTATCTCACAGGCTGCCTATTATTTATTGCTTTTCTCTTTATTTTTGTCAGAATGCTGTATTTTATCTCAGTGTTACATGAACTACTTGTCTTGATCTATATCCAGATCTGGAAGCACTTTAATATTCTTATGAGGAGCATGGGGCTATAAATCACGAGTTATTTGGATATAACCTTTTTCTTTGGTGAAATTAACTTTTTGAACTTTTAACAACTTCCATGTTTGGGATATTCATTAAATGTATGAATGATTCATAGTCCCAAAGGAAATGATACAATGTGGATTCTGGGTGGTTTAGTATCAGGCCATCAGGTAAATTCGCTTCATGTACTAACCTTAGATGGTTTCTCCTATCCTCCATGAAGTACGTCATCCCATTTGAAAGGGTGATGCATCTCCATCAGTGTCACAATAGGTTTCAAGTCTAGGATTCTAGTTGCCTAGTTGATTCCAGCAGGTCCAAACAGTGTTTCTTTGATGGATTTAGTGGATGTTTTTCCAGATCACTAATCTGTGTAAACACAACACGTAGGGCTATTTGATAGTGGCTGAAGTGGATGAACTGAATTACTTCTTTATTTGTCTTTTAGTGGATAAAATAATTAACAAAATATTCAAGGGTATAATAGTTAACCCAACTTCGTCTTCAGCCATTAAAGAATTCGGAACCTATTTAATAACTTATTCGCTAAAAGACAAAGCCATAAGTCATTTAGGTTAGTCACCTTAGCTGTTATCAAATAGCCCCTTAGTTGAAAGGGGTGGTCATGAAAACTTCAGACCACAGTTTTACTATTTTCCTTTATCATTAGACGGCCTTGTGTTTTTAGCATTTCAGCATTTTCCTCCTCTAGTTCCTACTTCTATCTATCGCTCTTCTGACTCTGTCAAAGTGTGAGTTCAGATTTATTATTTGGGTACACTCCACATACCCCCCATAGTTTGTGTATATGCCCATATGCCTTGTCACTCATGGAAATCCTAAAATGTTCTTTTTCTTCATTTGTAGGATGATTTTAACCTCCCCCATTAATGTTATTAAAAAAATATTTCTAATCATGATTTCTATGCAAAGATCTAAACCATTACTTCAGAGCCTCAACCAATAAACTGATCTTGAAATCCAAGTGATGTGTAAAAGTTTCAACTAATTTAGGCCATGGAAATGGGATGGTAGATGAAACTAAAAATATGGTCCATTGATGTGGTGTCTTAATATTAGTCAAGTGGTCTTTGCCCTTCAAGTGTTGTACTGAATTCAAGTCATGTAACTAATGTACTAAATCAAGCCAAAAATCTAGGCCAGAAGAGTCATCTCTTAAGATAAGTGCATTTATCTCAATGATTGGAATCGATTTGGGTGGGGATACTGCACACTGTAGGTGCCTCTTTGGGAGACACAACCTCTTGAGAATGGAAGAAGGGAGAGGGAGATAGGTATTAGGGTCTGGATTGACTTTTGCTATTTGGATCAGGCCTTATATATAGCTGGCAGAGATAACATTTTATGTCACATGCTCATCGTGTACTCTAAGAATCCACATAACAAACTGTTTCAGTTAGTCCTATGTGGCTTTCTAGAATATACTCAAATGATGGATGGCCATGCAGGGACTCCTAGAGTTGGAGCATCCATATTGGCAAGAACTGTAGCATTTGTGTGGGCCGGCTTACTATTGGGTTGGGCCCTATTAACTCCCCCTCCTCATGTTGATCCTTGTCCTCAAGGTCAAGTTATAAAAATTTCTGAGTTCTGTCGCAGCATTGAACAAGGCTTTTGAGTAGCATCCTTATGAGACAACCCAACCCATGCTACCAGGGCTCCCTTGATGATTTTCTTTCCATTCTTGATCCAACGGTAGTCTAAAATCTGTTGGGTAAGCAACTTCAATTCTCCTTTGTCAATGAAGAGGTGGGGGTAAAGTAGGAGTAGAAGTGAAGGTTGAGCCTTGGTGCTTCTTGAGCAGGGAGACATGGAACACAAGGTGTAGCCTTGATCCCTCTGGCAGTTGTAGTTGGTAAGCTACAACTCCAATCCTCTTGTTATTCGGGAGTGGTCCATGATATCGTGGGGATAACTTGTATCACACCCTTCTTGCAACGGAGGCCTGCCGGGAGGGTTGAAGTTTCATATATATGAGCCTGTCAACCTAGTATAGCCATACTGGTTTCCATTAGTTGTTCGGCCCAATAAAAATGGGCCTTGAGAGATTTCAGCAGCTAATCCCTTGCAATAGGTACTCATTGATTGTTGCAACAATCAAGGACCCCTTCTTGAAGGGTAGAATAGTGTAGGTTTTCAAGACTGCTATTCAGTCTTGATCACTAAGAGATTTCAGGTTCGATGAGAAGAGAAAGTGAAGAAGATGTAGAAGAAAGAGTGATGGAAGAGCAATAGAACACAGATTTTGAGGAGAAGAACAGAATG